AGGACACCAGGCACTCCTGTGTTTCACCATGGATATATTTCCATGGGATTTTCCTGCTTGTTTTATTAAACCCAGGTGTGTGATCCTCATCACTTTGCTAACTGGGAGCTCTGGTGCAGTGTGGTCACACTTGTGGTTTCTTTCTTACACACTTTGATTCTTTTTCTGGCCAGAAGGACCCAGAATCTGTAAGAAGATTTGAGAGGAAACATAACCCAATGGCTGTTTTTACACACAGTTGTTAAGTGGAGTCACTAGTCTGTGTCAGTGTTGACTAGGATTAAAAGTAGGGAGCAATACTTTAATGTGATTTATTTCCTAGGGTTGAATTTTCTTTTGATGAATGAATTAAGTGTAGAAGTTTTACAGAGTGCTGGATTAAGCCCTCAAGTGGTTCTGCTTTATTTTGGCTGACAAAAAGCTTGACAGGCCTTTGGCCCTGTCAGTGTTGTTTCTGTCTGGTTTGTGATATCAGGGTAAAGCAAATGCCTTACTATAAATACAGCTCATGTGCAGCATCATTTCTCCAGGGTGGTGAATACCTCATTCTGCACCTCATGGTGACCTCCACGTGGTCCAGGCCATGGTGTGCTGCTCCCTGCAGCTTGGCCTTGGGCAAGGGACCTGTTTTGTTCCACGAGGTACTTCCCTTCTTCAGCACTTTGTTAGAAAGTTGTTCTGTGCTTGTAAAATCCAAAGGCAGAACTGCTTTCCAGGAATGGGATGTCATCAGACTTTGCACGTTTACAGGTTGTGAACAAGTTTGAGCAGGCTTAGCTGGCAAACAGATTTGGGCTGTGCAAGGAGATCTTACGTGAGGAATTACAGTTAGTGCAAAGTTTTGCTCTGTTAACTTGTGTCTCTCTGTCCTGTCTGTGAGCATGGCTGTATTTTTAATACAGAGGGGTAAACTTGTCACTGGGTGAACCCCCTTGGAAGATGCTGTTGGAGCTGCTCATAATGATATTCAGCACTGTTGGCTGGAGATAATTTCTCTGCAATGTACAACTGATCTCAGCCCTGGCTTGTTTGGCTTTGTGTGACAACAATGGGGCTGAATTCAGAACCAGTTACAATACACTATTGTAGTCAGAAAACTTAGGCAGTGAAGTGTTATAATCAGTGATGTTAACTCTTCTCTCTTTGCAAGGAAGATTAGATTATTACATCTCATTTCTGCTCTTCGGGTAAAATCATACATTTAATTTCCTCTTGGCTTTTTGTAGTAAAGGTAAATGTAAGGCCTATAGGATTTTGAGAGTCCTTTATTACCTTTCTAGAGCATCTTGATTGATCAAACCTCTTTTTCCTCCTCTGTTCTCACCCAACAGTTACAGACATAGAGCTGAAGCGGCTGAAAGATGCTTTCAAGAGAACTTGTGGACTCTCCTATTATATGACTCAACAGTGCTTCATCAGGGAAGTCCTGGGTGATGGGGTCCCTCCAAAGGTTGCTGAGGTAAGCTGTGAAGTGCTGTTCTGCTGGGGAGACACAGCTGTAGATGTGCACACACAAATGTTTTTACACAGACACAGGAGCTACTTGAATTTCTTTCTGTTTCTCGTGCAGTATTGCAGTGTGTGTTCTCTGTCTGATGCTCCAGATCATGGGGTGTCAGGGATGTGTTCTTGGCTGAGCTACTGATTTCAGCCCTTTAATACGTGGCAGCTGACTGAATTAAACCTGAATATCCATATCTCGGGAGGTGAAAGGGTGGGAATTTGTAACCAAACTGTTATAACAGAGGATTTTATTTACTTTGGAGATGCACTTGCTGTTGGTGTCTCTGAGATTCCTTTGGCTTTTTCTTTGTTTCCTAAAGATTAATCTTTACAAGCTCTTAAAAATAATTTTATGTATAATAAATGTATAAATGAAGTGAAAAATAACCAGAATTAAAATCTGCTGCAGGGATATAAATATTAGTGTGTATAGCATAGATACTACACATCTCAGAAAGCAGTAGTACCCTCCTGCACATGTGCATGTTTAAAGAACTGCTTCTTTCAGAGTGTTGCCTCTGTTTTGAGAGAGAAATTCCAATGCTATTGGTAGAGAGGAAAGGCTTACCCAGACCTTTCAAATGATATCTCACTCCATGTCATTTCTCATCACAGCTTCTATTTTTGGTGCCCAGTGTTGTTGCCCTCACAGGCATTGTGCAACTCTTCCAGTTTGGCTTAGCTGATGTGAGTGCTGCTCTGTGCATGGCAAAAGGTTTTACACTCTGGCAGAGTTACTTTTTCCCAAGCTTAGTCATTTCTCCATTCTTTTTTTTTTTCCCTGCTTTTCCTCAGTGTTGACAAGGAGGATGAGACTACTTGTAATGTAGTGAACAGTTTGGGGTTTATGTGGGTGGTTAAGGATTCCCAGGAAAATTTGCAGTGTGTGTTAGCTCCATCAAATTCAAAATAGAGATATTTGCCCATAGCTTAAAACTTGTCTTCAGGATTAGTTTTTGAGTGTGTTCTCTGGATGCTTTGGCTGCTTTTGCCCATCACTGAACAAAAAAATGTATCTTGCACTGCATAGAATTGGTTTGAAATACTATGAATGCTGTGGATTTTATATTATGATTCAACTTGTCCCTTTTATGTCATTATTAAAGATTAAATTGCTGATTTGGATAAACTAAACTTTTGGTCACAAATGAGATTTTAAGTTTTCAGATCTTTGCTGGTTACTTTCTATTGAAATTTTTTTTTTTTTGCTAGAATATCTGTCCTTAAAGACCCCATTGTGGTGATGATTATGTCATTATGGTTATACAGCCATTCTTGGTTTCCAGGTGGTGAAATGAAATTAATGGAAGACTCATAATTGGGTTTTGATGGCATCTCATCAGAGCTCCTCTCCAAATTCAGTGATGCTGTTCTAGCTGTCGTGCTCAGTGTCGTATCTGGGAGCCTGAAGACTGTAAATTTGGGCAAAATTTGCATTAGATTCAGTTCATACTGTAAAGAGAAGCTTTCTAATTCCTGGCTTCAGCAGAGGGAAAGGCAGGCAAAGTCATTAGGCAGCTGAGGATCTTGTTCTGAGTTTGCAGCTAGTCAATCATGAGAACAGATCATTTCGAGCCTCAGGTTTCTGGGCTGTCCTCTCTGCACCTTGTGAATAACTATTTGTCGTGTCTGAGCACTGATAGGCCTTTAGGAATTCCTTAAATTCAAAATCCAGGAGTTTTGCAGCCATGGACCAGAGAACTGCAGCCCATGGGACTTTGGTCAAACAATTTGCATGATTGTCATGCACACAAAACAGCTTTTAAATGTTCAGGATAGGAATGTTCCGGGAGGAAAAATGGTGTTAAAGGTAATAATGGGCTGGGATGAAGAGATGTGCTGTGTGTGTTGAGCTGCAGCAAAGCTGCTCAGGTGGTGAGGGGGATGCACACAGCTTTTGGCTTGAAGTATAAGGAAATCATGTCATTACCACAGGCAGTTGTGGGCACCTGCTAGCAGAAGTGGTGCTGGGAGGAGGAGGAAGGTCAGAATGCTGAGAGATTTCAAGAAAGCTCTTTTGGAAGCTTTGTATTTTAGGCTGAGGAGGAGAACAGTGAGAAAGGAGCTCCTAACCTCAGTACAGTCATTGCAGTGACTCATTAAATTATATCTCTTCCATATAGCTCCATAGCTGCTGCTGTGAGTTGGTGTACACACAGCCCTCACTGATACTTCCTGAGGAGTTATGTGTCAGTGCAGCTTCTTCTCCAAGTGTGACCAATTGGTTAACAAGCTGCAGTGCATGGAGAGCAGGGATGGAGCCAGCAGAGACAGGAAGGGCACGTTGAGGGGGCAAGAGAGCCAGAACACAGACTTCCCAAGGACTGGGAGAGGAGAGGGGTCGGAAGGATAAACCCAGGAGAGACTCTGGGACATTCTATCCTCTAGAGAAAAGAGCCTGAGCATCTTCTCCTGCTCTTCCAGCAGCTTCCTGGAGCACATGGGCACAGGGCCAGGGACTGGGACCTGAAGGGAACTGTTGGCATGGACTGTTTAACAGAAAAGGAACCATCTCATTACACTCTTCAATTACCCCTGAAACAGAACATGTCAGGCTTGAATCTTATATAAAAATTACTGTGTAGCATCTAATTATCCTCAATTTTACATCCTGAAATGTAAGTTGCTGTGATAGCCTGGGTGTGGCTATTTTAAGTCAAGCTGCAACAGGATGAAGTAATTTTGGAAAACACAGAGTTGCATCAGGTTTTGATGGGGAATGTTGTTAGAAGTTTTCCAGACAGCACATTCATGGGTAAAATTTGGAGCTGCTTCATTAGACATACACACTAACCTCTGTGAGGTGTTTTATGGCTGTGCAGTGTTTATAAACTCTTCCCAAGGAATGGTTAAGCAGCTCAACTCAAGGCAATGCCCATGGTACTAATTCCATATGTTACATACTGATACATTGGGCATTATCCAGAGTTCCTTTTCTGTGTTTATACCATGAGCACAATGTGCTGTGTCGAAACATTAGATAACTGTAATATTTGGCATTCAGCTGATATCATAACTGAGAAGTACAAAGTTCAACACAAGTGAGTGGATGTTTTAACTGCCTCTTTTAAACCCAGCAATGATTGCAGTGTACTAGAAAGGCAAATTGCCTCCATGGGCACTGCAGCCTTGAAGGCATCTTGTGGAAACAGAATGGTGAGGCATGGAAAGTGTGGAATTCAAATCCCTGCCATGACATTGGCCATGAAACCTTACACAGTCATTGTGTCCAAACAGAGCACAAATTTGGGTTTGGTAATTTATCCCTTCAAGCATTTGTAAGTGGAGTAAACTTTGGTGGTAGAGGAGGCTGCTCTGAGCACCCTGTGCACGTGGATGTGCTTGGGGAATGCTGTGTCTGAGAGTGGAGTGAAACTGAGCTCCTACAGAATGTTTTCTGGAGCATTAAACCCTCCTGTAGTGCTGCCCTGGGGGACACTGACATGCCTGAAGACATATTTTAATAGTCTGAAGTGGATAGCAGTGGAAAGGGCTAGGACAAGGTGGGCAAGGAGAGGATTTTCTGCAGGTGACACAGAAGGAGGTGGAGGTGAATGTCCTCAGGGACTCTACAGTAGCAAATCCCATGTAGCTGTGCTGGGTGTTTGCTTATCTTCTTCTTGCCACCACAGCACTGTGTGGCTCAGCCAGGTCTAACCAGTGCCCTTGACAGGCCCATGACTGGTTTTGTTTGGTCACTCCCAGTCCTTGGCTTGACTGGAGATGGAACCACCCCTGTGATAGTGCAGTGTCTCACCCACACAGCTCTCTCCTGCCAACCTGTGCCTGGGGACTGAGCCTGCAGCCCTGGGGTGGCTGTTCTGGAGGGGAAAGAGGGAGAGAAACAGAGATTTGGGCTCTGCTTGTTGAACCTCTTGTAGAAACCCAACTCATTAAGGCTGAGGCACTTATAGAAACACAGATCTGTCTGAGCTTTGTCCTGAAATGTTTCTGAAGCTCCTTTTTTGAGCCTCACACCATTATCCTCCAGACTCTCAGAGGATACACGTGCCCCTCTCTGCAGATGTGGAACTTATTAGGCATAAAATATATTCTTTGGGAGTTTTCGGTTGATTTCTTCTGCCTTTTTATTTTTAATAGGAAAACCTGCAGGTTCAAGTCCTCACAGTGATGTTATTGCACCTGCTTGCAGAGCTTCCCTCTAACTGCTGCTGCTTTGTTTCCATCTTCACTCAGAGCTGTCTCTGAAAAGTGTCAGGTTACTATAAAGAATATACTCAAGGCTTTACTGGAGAAAACTGAAAAATCAGGACCTAACCCCCCCTGTACACATCCTGGTTTTAGTAGTGTTTGTTTAGATTGTAATTCAGATTCAAGCAAAGAAAATACGATTTAAAATGTGCACAACACTTTTCTCAAGGTGATGTCTGGTCCAAAAGTTCTATTTAAAAACCAAACTGAGCAAAGAGGAATGTTATCCAAGCCATGATCAGTGACAAATCACTCTGTTCTGGTCCTTCACAGCAACAGTTCCTCATCAGCCACACTGGATACTTTCTGGTTAGATGCTCTGTGTGATACCTGTAAGAAAATCAAATTATAAGACACAGACACTGAAATAATTCTTCTACGTAAGAATAATAGATCAGTTCTGACTGCATTAAATTGTAATACCTGCTGCAGGTTTCTGTCTTGGGATCCTGCCGGAGCAGATTTGGGATTGCAGGAGGAGGCTGTGTTGGAAGGGCAGCACAGCACACGTGTTTTCCTGTGTGCTCTGGAGTGTTAGAGGCCAAGTGAAGTCATGTATTGCAGGGAGTGAGTTGGTCTTTCTTGTTTACTAAAAATAGTTGCTGTTTGTCCTAAAACGACTGACTGACTTCATAGCTCATAGATCAGAGCTGAATCCCTGGTGAGATGCTGATGGAGAAGTGAAGCTGCAGAGTACACACATCTCCTGGGCAAGGTGGATGGCTCAGCTCACTGTGTGGCTCCTTGGCCACTTGTGCTCTTGGAAGAACTTCAGTGCTGATTTCTAGTGCTTTCTCTGGGAAGACAGATGTCAATGCTGCTGTTGGAGCAGGGACAGTCATTGTAGCAGCACTTGCAGTGTTAGGATAGTGCAGGTAGAGTGGAAAATGGTTTTTGAGTCACAGCTTAGCAGTTGATGTTGATGGGTTTCTGGAAGTGATTGGGGCAATGAAACACTTGATGGCCCAACAATCCCCTTGTTAGCTTTGAGAGTATCAGGGACCAGTCTGGAGATTTCATCTTCATTACCTTGACAAAGAGGTGTGGGGAAATAGCAGCAGTGAGCAAGGCAGGAGTGTCTTCACCAGAGGATTCTAAGGTGGCTTATTTTTGCATTGCTGTTCATGACAAGTCCCTGTGTTTCCCTGAGTGAAAGACAATGGAAAGGTTATTTTATCAGTACCAGAAGAGCTACCTCAGTGTCACACAGTTCATATTTGAAGGGTGTTTAGCTGAATGTGAGGTGAAGAGGCCAAAACCCACGTAAGACACAGCCTCAGTATTAGCTGTTGCTTTTAGTTCTGACATCTGTTTGTTTGCCCTGGTTTTGGTTAACTTCTCTGTTTGGTTCTTCCAGGTTATCTACTGTTCATTTGGAGGAATATCCAAAGGGCTGCACTTCAATAACCTGATAGTTGGGTTAGTTCTACTTACCAGAGGCAGAGAGGAAGAGAAGGCCAAATGTAAGTGATGTAACTTTGAATAAGACAGTGGATAGGGAGTGTAAAATACACAAAGAATAAACTGTGGTTCCTATTCTCATGTGTAACCAGAGCATACATTTTCCAGTACAGATTTTTTTAGAATTTTTGGCTTTATTGTTTGAAATTCAATCCATTTTGTTTTCTGTGCTCGCCAAAATGAAGTATTTGACAAGTCCTCATGAATGTAAATGTTGGGATCCTCCAGAAAGCCTGATGAGCACTGTCTGTAGGCAGAGGAGGGAGGATGGCATTGATGTTTTTCAAAACAAATGAAAGCATCTGCCTACTGACTTCTGTTGTTTTGTCTTCTTTGTTAATGTGACTTGATAGTATTTATTTTCCTTTGGATTAGTGGACAGTGGTGAAAGAAAATGGAGAACTTGACCTAAACCTTGTTGAGCTCTACTGAAATTAATTCAGCCTAAGCTTTTAGTCCTGTAGTTGTTGCACAGCCTTTGGCATTCTTAGCCATTTAAAGCTGCTAACACATATCTCTACTTCCTCAGATATTTTCAGCCTCTTCTCTAATGAATCTGGGAGTTATGTTGTCCGTGAAGAGATGGAGAAGATGCTGCATGTGGTTGATGGGAAAGTCCCAGAGTCACTCAAGAAATGTTTCTCTGAGGTATTTCATACAGCTTTTATCCTCCTGCATTTACAAAGAAGTGAAGATTACATTAGGTAGTTTGTTTTTGATGCTCCTGCACATATGGGAACAAATTGACCTTGTTTGAATTGGGTAAAAGCTCATAGTTTTTTATGTTGGAAGATTGCTTGTAATTTGTCTTGATGTGAGCAGCAGTTTGGTAGAGAAATGCAGGAATTCTCCATGCTCCTGTACTTACTGTGCTGCTCTCAAAGATAGCATTTCCCAAGGGTAATCATCTTATCAGGTGAATTTAAATACTTATATTGCTAGTGGGAACTTAGTCATTAGTGTGGACATTTCATTGCAATTAGGGGAAAATCTAGAACAGATCTGAGGGAAGATCTACATCCTGGATTTCAAACTGCCTGCCAGCAGTGGCTGCTTAAAAATAATAGTGTTAGAGTATTACTCTTGTCTCACTGTTCCTGCAGGAGCTGCAGCATTTATTTATGCTTTAGGTCATTTGAGAGATGTAATCTCCATGAAGCTTGCTGAAATCCTCCTCTAAAACAGGCTGTGGGTACTTGGAAATATTCAGAGATGATTCTTGGGCACCAGTGATCCTGATGAATTGTCAGGGGTTTGTGCTTTGGTTGCATTGTTTGGTGTCAGAGGAGTCAGGTCAGCAAAATCTAGACATCATTCCACATTCCAGTGCCAATGGATTGACTAGATTGACTCACAGCTTTATTTGTGACTATCAGGTTACTGAACCACCTTGGATTTCATTGTGCTGTATTGAAGCTAACTTTGGTTCTGGGCACTGGCTGAGCCAGGCTCGTTGGACCTGGCACTGGGATGGTGTTGGCTCTGGAGGCAGTGATTACATTCCTGAGCCTTGGCTGGAATGATAAATCATATGTCACCTGCAGTCCAGCTCCTGGAGCTGCCCCACGGCCACACAGCCTATTTATAATTCCCATCAATATGGTGTGATGAATTGCACCCTAGAAGCTAATTGCACACTGTCCAAGAAATCCAGAAATACTTTATGAAGACTTGCAGGAAGATAAGTATCAATCTGGCTTCAGAGCATTTTCCTGTTGAGGAAAATGCTGCATATTGATTTTTTCCTTTTCGAATGAAAATAGTGTAATAACCCACTCAGCAGGATTTACTGGGCTGTTAATCATCCTTGGGCATTGCTGGAGAGTGGGAAAGTTTAATGTTCCTGCTGTGGGCCTTCCTGCCTGCCTTATGGAGGATGAGTTTATGCTTTCAAGGATGATGTTTATAGGTACTTCTGTTCTTCAGAACGATTGCACGGGCTCAGCTAGAAATAGAAGCTTTAAGACCTGAGTTTTCCTCATTCTGGTTTGTGGAATGCAGGGAACACATTCGGTGTGTATTGCTTAAGTTTCATCATGGCTCAGTTGTAACCATTACTTGCTTCAAATGCTTTTTTTCCTCCTGTCCAAAGTTTTCCTTCCCTAATCAGTTGGAACAGTTGGGGTGTTAGTGGCACAGCTCTGGTTGTGTTTACAGAGAGAAGTGCAAAACACAGAGGGAGAGAGGGGAACAGGTAGTAAGAAAATGTTGTGACTTGATCCGAACTGCTCAAGAAATTAAATAATAAATGAAAGAAATTCCTCCCTGTGAGGTGCTGAGACACTGGCAGAGGTTGCCCAGAGCAGCTGTGGCTGTTCCATCCCTGGGAGTGTTCCAGGCCAGGCTGGATGGGGGTTGTAGCATCCTGGGCTGGTGGGAGGTGTCCCTTCCCATGGCTGGGGGTGGGATGAGATGATCCTTAAGGTCCTTCCAACCCAAACCAGTCTGGGATTTTGGGATTTGTTGGAGGAAAATGTAACACACTTTATTCTAGGAAAAAGAGGCATAAAAAGAATGAGTCTCTGGACCCAAAATAATCCCTCCAATGGGCTGATGAAGCAAATGCTTTAGCAGTGCTGGTGATTAACCATTTGAGCATCCTGGCAAGGGAAGCTCTGCATTTTCAGTTCGCTGCCGTTGGCACTTGCAGATAGTCTGTGGCCAAATGTGAATTGTTGGATTCTGTAGAGATGTAATTCAGTGAAGTTTAATGGTCTGTGATATGAGGGGAGTTTAAATAATCAATGGCTTGAAACCTCTTCCACTTTGCAGACCCCTGTTTATTTCCCCTGGAGATTAAAATCTCCATTTAATGAGTTTGTCTACTGATAATGGGTTTGCTTTTATTTTAGTTAGTTTTGGAGGTCCTGGTGAAATAAGTGTGCTGATCCCTATGGTTTCATGGCCACAGCTTGGAAAGGATTCAGCTAAATGGTTGAAACAGCCTCTCCAGCATTGAGATTCTGTGGATGTTAGAGTTTTGATGTGTTCCTGACCAGGGAGCTCCAGGGGACATCCAGCCAGAGAGCCTGAGTGAGGATGTCATGCTCACATATATGCTCCAAAGTGGCTTTTGGTCAGTAGAGGCAGAACATTGACATATTCCTGCAGTGATTCATCTTCCCAAGTCTGATTTTTTTTTCTCTGTGAAGTGGTTGTATACCTGTATGGATACAACTGAATGCCTGTGACTTTAGAGCACCTGTTATTTGGCACCATAAACTTTTATCATAATAAATTTAAATCCATAAAAATGGCCTCTGCTGTTTGGAGTTGTAAGGAATCATTTTTCTTTGAATCCCTTTAACCTGAGCTTTGGAGTAAAGGAGTTTCCAAAGGCCACACTGAGTAGGTGGTTGAAATGCAGAGAGAGCTGAGAAGTTAATTGCCCTCCCAGTGCTGCATTTCAGAAGGAAAGGGAAAACCAGGCATAGCTCCAAAGAGAAAAATTACTTTAGTACTTATTTTTCTAGGAGATTGTCCCAATTTTTTGCTCCTGTAGCTGGATGATTCCTGTTGACTGCTACTGAGCAACACTGCTCACACTTTGTGGTTTTTCTTACAGGGTGAAAAGGTGAACTATGAGAAGTTCAGGGTTTGGCTGTTGCACAACAAAGATGCTTTCACCTTCTCCCGCTGGCTGCTCTCTGGGGGGGTGTACGTGACCCTCACTGATGACAGTGACACCCCAACCTTCTACCAGACCCTGGCTGGAGTCACCCACTGTGAGTACAGGAGCTGCTTGTTCTGCATTTTGAGGAACTGTTTCAGGGCTCACAGACAAACTGTTGCCTTGGTGCAGTTGTTCATTAAATCTCCCTGGCAGTTGGGTGTTCAGTGAGATGAAATTTCTGCTCGCTGCTAATTTGTTCTCTGCTTTTTGTGCTGTGATTTGTAAAACATTGTGATGTACAAGGACACTGGGGGTTGTTATTTTTAAGAGATAACAAGGCTGTGATTACAACACTTGTAGTAGAAGTTTTGGTACCAAGCAAGTTAAAAAAAAAAGATAAAAAATTCAAATATCTTCTCTTTGACAAATAACTTTTCTGTTCCACTAATATTGGGTTGGTATTTCTAGTGGATCATAAAGCTATTGAGACAGTTCAGAAAATAATGTTTGTTTCAACAATGTGTTACCTCTTAATATGCTTATGCAGTAAAATAAGTAATACTCCTGGCAGGTTATGTCAGGGGGCTAAATTAACTGAGGAGAAGCCTCCTCAGGATTTACAGTTAGGAATAATCTGCAAAGAACAAGTGCTTCCTTGTGTCTGTATTCATGTGGAAGAAGGAACAGCTGTTTTTTAAATAAAATCTGCAAACAAAAGGTTGATGAATGATACTTGATGCACAAGTGTATTGTGAGCATCCAGGGACTGGGAGCTCTGGGAGGAGCTGTCAGTGATCTGTGTTTCGTGTACTCTCACAGATTTTCTCAGTGGTGTCAGGGTGACACTTAACCCCCTTAATGGGAGAATGGAAGAACCAGCAAGTGAAATGATGCTTGGTAAACTGAGGCAAACACTGTTAGCAGGATAGAGTGAAAGAGTGAAAGGTTTTACAGTTTCTTCTGCTGTAAACTCTAATCTGTTGGCACTTGCTGGTGCTGTTGGGAATGTCTCATTTTCCAGCTCATTCCCTCTCTGGGCACAGAGCTCAGGCCTCTTCCCCAGCCTGACCTCACACTCTGCTTCCCAGCCAACATTTTGGATAACATGACAGAGACCTGGAAAACAGCAGTGATCAAATAGTGAGAGTTATTCCCATTGAATTAGAAACAGGCACTGACCATTTCATTGCAGAGCATCAGTAGCTCCATTTAAATATGCTTAATGAGCCAAACTGTCAGGGCAACAAAGGAATAGTAATTTTTCAGTTGTAAATAATATTTCTTTTGGTGTGCAGATGACTTTAATAATATTTCTCAGCACATAATTAGAAGTGCAACTTTAAAGTTACAGGAAGCTGCACACACTTGCTGCTTTTAATCGAATTTTGTTCCATTTCAGTTAAACCATAAATATGAATCATTTCATTTGAAAACTGACAAAATAACCAAAGCCTGTCTTGGATCTCTGTTCTTCAAATCCAGTTTCAGGGATATCAGTCTGTCCTACACGTGAACACTTAGCCATTGGTTTTATATGTATATTTTTAAACCATCATATTGAATAAACACTGGTGGAGCACCTAAATCCCACATTGTTGTCACACTCCTCAGGTGAGACCTCATTTATTTCCATCCTTTGCCTGGAAATATTGATTCTGCTGTAACATAGGTGATGGTTTCCTTTTTTGTGTGTTGTTTTGGTGTGTCTCAGTGTCATGTAATGGGCTGAGAAACTCAGGTTTTCAGTCCTTTTCCAAGAGGAAAACTCTTCCATTTATCAGAGAGGTTCCTGGTTTTGAACCGACAGAATGTTTAATTTGTACTTCTGTGTCACCCAGTTCTTGTGTCACTGAGTTCTGATTAAGTAACATCTGAATCCTCCTTTGAATTGAAGTGACTTCTCTGTTGTCAGAAAAATTCATCAAAGTGCTCCTGCTCTTCCTGACAGCTCTTACCTACTGAGGTGCAGCTGAGACAGTCTGTAATCAGTGCAATAATTATGTTTTAGAACATACATTTATCACTAACTTAATCTAGTGAAGGAGAGGAGCTGTGGATAACCAGACAGGAAGGCTGAAATGGAAGAGTCAGTTTTGAAACAGTACAGAATTGGAGCTGAATGCTGGGGAAGGAACTCCTGCTGTCAGAGCTGGGTTTGTCAACCTGTAGGGCTTCAGGGAAGATGAAGATGTGAGGCTAAAAGGGAAGTGAAATGAGGTGATCACTTCACTTTGCTCACATTAAGAGGCTGTCTGGATGTTAAGTAAGTGTTGTGAGCTTGCCCACTGCAGCTGTGGTACCCACTCCTGGCACACCATCTCCTCATCCTGCCTGGAAGCCAATTCTGAAGGGTTGGGATTCATTAAAGGTGTTTTTAGCAGCATATTTCACTCAGTGCTGCTTTTTCCAAGTGGACACTTGTGCTTTGAGAGGAGCTGTAGTGTTTAATACCTCTCTGTAGTGTTCCCACCTTAAGGCACTGATCATCTGCTGGATAACACCTGAACAGTCATCTCTGACCCACACAAGGATCTGTCTTTTTTTGAGCTTAGAATATTCCTTTCTCCGTGTGTTTATTTTCCAGCTAGGAAAAGCAAAAAGATGAAAGTATGACAACAGCTCAGGCCAATAAGTAAAAGCCTCAGTGTCACTTAATCTGCATCTTGGTGATCCTCTTAGTTCCCAGGCTATTTTATGTCTTGCAAAGCAGCTCTGGGTGCCCAAGTCCCAGAGGCTTCTGTGGGTTCATTTGGAAGCCACAAACAAGTGTGAGTGGTCAGAAGGAGTGTTGGGTGTCAGTTCTGCTGGATCTGCCTCACCATGAAGAGCTCTCTGTGCTGCTGGGGACTGGGAGCTGCCTGGGGGATATGATGGTAAACAGCAAACCAGTCCAAGTCTGGGTTAAAATGTTGGGAATATGGTATGTTTCTGCTGCTGTGAACCAGAGAGGATTGTACCAATAGGTGGGTAAAAATTCCAGTTTTGGGATGTGTTTAAATACGTAGTGAATTGTAGTCCTGGAGGGGATTGTAGTCGATTGTGCCTTGAAATTGTTTTATCCAGGATTATTTGTGGCTATGTGTGGAGTGTTTAAGGACAGGCATTTCATGGGAATGGCAGGAAAATGCAGGATGGGATGGTGTTTAGTGCTTGGCACTGTCATGCAAGTTGACTGTCAATCCCTGTGGCAGCTGCTTTGAAATTAACTCCCTTTTAGTAGATTAAACTGCATATTTTGGCTGGAAATGTTTACCTGTTCTTCCTTTACAACATGAAGACTTCAGGTGGACTTGGCATTATCATCCCTCTGATCCTATTTGTCTAATTCTTAGCAAACAGAACCAAGAAACTGTATTTCTGCTTTTACAGGTGTGAAAGTTTTACATATTTCTAAAGGAAAAACAGCACATGGAAGTGAACTGGTAGTGTATGGGTAAATTTCACAGTGTCTCCATGTGACCTCAGATAATAATATCATGTCTTAATTGGCAAAAATGAATAATTCCTTGGCCTAGGGAGCCTGTCTGTACATGTAAGATGCTTTTAAAGTCATCTGAATGAAACCCCAGTTCACACTTTGTGATGTGATTTGAACAGGCATTGGGGGGAAAAAAGTTTATATTTTGCAAGGATCAAATCCTTTATCCCTATAAAAGCTCTTCAGACTGTGGTGTTTTGTCATGCACATTAATATGTTTGGCTATTAAGCACTGTCTGCTTTTCTCATGCTTCATTTGCTTTCCAAAACAAATACCATTATATGTATAATCACCAATTGCAAGAGATTTCTTTTAGTTTACATTTAGGGAGGAAGAGATGATACACTGCCTATCCTGAGACTGATTTACAAGATTCTGTGCAAAAAAAACCCAAAACTACTCTGGAGAAATCAAATTACACAATAGTTGAGTTCCAGCTCCGAGTTAAACTTCGTGTGCTGCAATCCAATCAATCCTCTGTTATTAGTGAAATATTGCACTAGGCTAAAATTCCTCGCTGCTGTGAATGAAAAATATTCCTTTGTCACAGTTTTTCTTGTGTTCAACCTAATTTGTGTAAGGCTAATCAGAACTAATAATGTTTTTTGGTACTTTGTCAATTTGTTTGGCTTTGCTGTGAGAGGTCAATGCACTGGGGCTGCCTTGGCTGTAAAGAAAGTACTTATCAGCTCTTCTTTTAAAGATGATTATGTGATAGTTCTGTGTCTTTTAAATGATCATGTGACTTTAACCAAAATGCAGATAAGATACTCTCTGGTAATTTCTGTTTTCTGAGATTAAATATTGATAAATGAAGGCAGCACTGTAGAAACATCTCTGATGTGCAGTTAAAAATTGTGGAGTACAACTAGCTTCTCCTACAGATATTAGAGAAAGGTTCTCTGTCAAAATAAAACAATCTTTCCATTCTCAAATCCTAAAGCCAACACTGTACCTGCCAGGAAAAGCAGGTGTCAGATTTCCCCCTCACTGAAGTCCATGTGAGCTTCCTTGTGGGTTTTGGACATTCTTGGCCGTGGCATCATTTCAGGAGTGAAGTGTCACTCACACACTTGTTATTCTTCCTAGTTACAAAGGTGGATTAAAAGGAAACAAAGTGATTTACATGCTCATGCACAAGAGAGCATAACTAATGCTTTTGTGTTTGCTAATGAGAGCAGTAATGTGGATGTGCAGTTCTGGGAAATGACAGGGCAAACCTCCCCTCTCTGTGCAGCTGTTCAGGCAGTGTGAGAGCTCTGGGATTCTCCTCCTGTCATGTCTTGTGAGCTCTCTTATCAGCCCTGTAGCACCCTGACACCTGGAGAGGTGACAAGGCTGAGGGAGGTGTATTTTCTTTGGTAGGTTCTGTCTCCTCTGGTGTTGTGCTGACTGTGGTGGGGCTGATGTGCTGGGAAATCATCAGGGCATGAGAATCAGGACATCCCTTGGATTCTTTTGTGTGTTTCCCTGTATGTCTTGGAGCATACCAGATGCAGTTGTGCATCACTTGACTGTTCTGCTTAGGCTCGTGGAGCTGCTCACATCTGTGCCAGTGCTAAGCACCTGGATATTTTATGTTCTGTGTATTTTCATGTGCTGAACTTGTAACTTCATTTCTCTTCGTTGTTAATATTCCTTGAATGTTTGGATTGCTCCTTCCTTCTGTATTGGGGACAGACTTCTAGTAGGGCCTGTAGTGATGGCATGAAGGGTGATGGGTTTAAGCTAAGAAAGTAGATGAGAGAGAGAAATTTGTTATGATGAGGTTGCTCAGAGAGGAGGTGACTGCCCCATCCCTGGGACCAGCTAAGGCCAGGTTGGATGTGTCTCTGAGCAACAGGATCCAGTGGAAGATATCTGGAGGGTGTTGGACTGGGTGACCTTTGAAGTTCCCTTCCAACCCAAGTGACTTGGTGATTCCAACACAACCAAGTGTCAGGGGATGGTAATCAGATCAGGGCATTGGTCCATCGAGGAAGGAGGGGGAAAGGAGAAAGGAAATCAGTCTTTCTTCTGGATCAGCTCTTTATCTGGTGGTGTAAATGCCTGGGATGATGCACTGAGGGTGCTGCAGCCCTGCCTGGGGCTGAGAGGGGAGATAGGGATTAGGGGTGTGAGCTCAACCCCCAGATCTGTGGCATTGGCACTGTGGTCTGTGACTGCACTGAATGCACAGAGGAGAGGGGACACTGCTCACTGGTGTTAGCTGCACGGTCTGAAAATATCTTTGCAAGGAACTGCAAACTCTTTCCACTCCTCCAACTCTACTTCAGCTCTTTGATTCATATCTTTCCAAACTTTCTGCTGCTGAGGGTGAGGTGGTGTGTAGGTTCTGATGTGCCTACTGGGTAGGGACAACTAGTTCATGCTTATTGCAGGTTACCCAAGTTACTATTCTAAGTCAATTACTCCTAATGACAGAAAGAAGGGAAAGAAATCAATAAAATTTCAATTTGCCACCTAACTTTTTCGGGGGGAGGCTCTTGTGTTCTTAAGCCTTACAGGATTATTATTGTTTCTGTAGACTAAACCAGGCCAAATAGCTCAAGTTAAACCTATTAGAGAGCTGGCATGGATTTAAAGGCTCAGAACCATCTGGGAATGAGATCACACGTAGTGGTTCTTAATATAGACAGCTTTGTCATTACATATCTATTGGAGAGCCAATTAATTTGCACTGACCTAAAGCAATGTTGTGACACACTTGCATATGTAAAAAGGTTACAAGTATTGTTGAGCAGAAACTTAATCTTGTTATATATATATTTAATTTCAAGGATAAAGCATAAGGAGACTGATATTTGGATATTATGTTTTGAAAGAAAACAGAAGTTCTTCCTCTGGCTGTTTTTATACACCCTTGTTTTGCACCTTGTTTTACTGATTGGTTTGGGAGTTTGGTTAGTTTTCCTTCTCCTTAAATTAGCTTGTAAGTTCCTGGGCATAAAGAGGCTTGGAGGTTTGTGTAATCACTCCCCAATGTTTGAAACCCAATGGGTTTCTAAGTGAGTCTATAGTGTAAATAATAATGTGAAACAAACCATTTTATATCTGGAGGAAAAAATAAGCTGAGATAGTATTTAAGTGCCACATTAAATCTTAGCTTGATTACTGTATCAGAAGGCTGAAGACTCCAAATGGGAATCTCTCAAGAGTAGCCAAGTGCTACATTATTTTTCTGATAAAAGATCTGGGTTTATTTTTAAAGGCTACTTGACATCTTTTTTGAGGGCTTAAATACTGGATACTTTGGAGAAATAAGATACTGCACATCTAACCTACCTGTTCACTTCACCAGGAAGAAACAGGTGACAATGAAGAGCCTTTAGCAGTGAGAAAAGTTCATGTCTGTATTTCTGAACCCTTGTGAAGGTGTTCTTGGGGTGGAACTCCTAAATGGTGAATAGATAAGGAGATTCTGTGGGTAAAGAAAGTAAATTTCTTTTCTTTTTGTTGCTTATCCAGTGGAAGAATCTGACATCATCGACTTGGAGAAGAGATATTGGCTGCTAAAGGCTCAATCAAGAACTGGACGTTTTGACCTAGAAACATTTGCCCCCTTAGTTTCCCCTCCAATTCATCCATCCCTGAGTGAAGGTATGGAATGTGGGGCAGGTGTGTGAGCAGCTGATGCTGCTGTGGGGATGCTCTGTTGCCAGACAGATGTTATGGCTTTAAAAGTGTCTGAAATGCCTGTTCTAAAATGTCTTTGAAACTTAAATGGCAGGATGATTCCACTGAGTTCTGAGTGCTTGAAAATGGGAAATGGATTTGTTGGGAGGTCTGGAATGATGAGGTGATGCTTCTGTGTGTTGCATTCTTGTTTGTTGGTAGGAAATACCTCCAACTTTATGTCTAAGTTCCCTGTAGGTATTAACATTTTTCATGGGTTCCTTAAGATTCTGTAATGGCAAAATACATTTCTGTCCCTGAGTGGGAGAAAACAAACCATTTGTGAACTGAGAAATGTGAGTTTCAGCAGTTAAATGGCAACTCAGCATGCAAGTCAGATGTTGTATCATGCAGCCAAAGAAACTCTCTTCCCTCATGGTGTTTAGGGAAGATTTTACTCAGGAGACTTGGTCTGGGGATTTGTATGTTGTTATTTATACTAAGAACCCAACTGGTCTGTCCAGTTGAAGACACTCTGGTAATAACTGGAGTTGCAGTTTCTAATTGCCACGTGCTGTGTGGACACAGTCAGGAGCATTCCACTGGCACGTGAGTCCTTGTCTGCAGTCCTGGGGTGACACTGGTTTATCACCACAGGGTCAGCTTTGCTGACAAGTGGCAGCAGGAGGGAGAAAATGGGAAATCATCTGCAGTGGATGCAAACTGGGTAGACTTGACTCGTTTCTGGTCCATCTTAGATGTCTTCTGTGCAGTTACTGTTGCTAAAAGGTGTAATTTATGGGATAAAAATGTTTCTAAGTGCTGAATGAATGGAATTCTGAGATGCTTTGGAAGCTGGTGACTATAACTCCTAACTCAGGGCCAAGTCTGCAGTGGTATTCAGTGATTTCCGTAGGAATTTCTGTTGGAAAAGCCAAAGCCTTTGGCATCTGAGACTCTTTTGGTCCTTTGGCCTTTATGACAAGGCTTGTCCTGACCATATTGGTTCAGATGTCCACTCTGAATCAGTGGCTACAAGGAAGGGCTGAGGATAAGGCCTGTGATTCCATCCGCACCCTTGGTTTGACCAACCATACACAAATGATCTAATTCACCTTCAGAATGTCCTTAGTAGTGCTTAATTATCTTTATTACACTTAAGAAGTTCAAAGTGTTTGTACTCCTTGCAAATGTTCCCATTAACCCTTCATGGAAGTGCTGAGTGTGACTCTCAGGTGCTGTAACAGGAGATGCTTTTGTGGTTTGCAGGTTTGTTTAATGCTTTTGATGAAAACAGAGACAATCACATAGATTTTAAAGAAATTTCCTGTGGGCTCTCAGCATGTTGCAGGGGACCCTTGGCAGAAAGACAGAAGTGTAAGTATGCTAAATGTTAACTGTTAATTTGGGACAAGTTTTGCAGTTTGAGCAACGAGGTTTAGTTGTTTTGCCATCTTGGAGCCCTTTTTTTTTTTTTTCCCCACTGTGTGTCTGTGAGAGATGACAGACTTCACGTGTTAAAAACCCAAAGGAACTTTAAATATCAAGGTTTCCTTTTATAACGGATGATTATAAAATCCACAGTATGAGGTTTAATCTTATTTCATATCAATTATCAAACCGGGGAGAAAAAAAATACCTTTCAGAAGTTATTTTGCAGTGTTCTGCATTATGGTGCAGAAATGTGTATGTCTCAGTGTAGAAAGTGCAAACATTTATCTACTCATTATCTCTAATATAAGCCAAATGTCCTATTTGATTGTCTTGTGGTAAGTAGCATGTCTGTGGCTTGTTCACTGCCCAGTTCTCAGCTGGCTCCCTGCAAGGTTCTGGTGTCTCCAGAGACTTTTTGTTCCCTACTTTTCCCCAAACCATATTGCTGCAACTTAAAAGCCATCCTTCCTTGGAAATTTCTGGATGCACATATGTTCCCTGCTCTGTCACACCAGAAAACACAGCAGAGAATTGCAGGAATCAAGAGTTGAGTTTATCAAACACAGCTGCTCCATTTCCTCCCCCCCACACATGCATCCTGCCTCAGCAAAGCTGTCAGCACTAAATCCTCTGCTGGTGGCTCTGCACCCTTAGATGCTGCAAGAACTAGAGTTGTTGAGTTGTTCTGCTAAGGGAGAAGTGATTTCTTGCTGTCTCAGTTTGCTTCAAGGTGTTTGACGTGGACAGGGACGGAGTGTTGTCTCGCACCGAGCTCAAGGACATGGTGGTTGCACTTCTGGAGGTCTGGAAAGATAATCGGACAGATAAAATACCTGTGAGTTACACTTGGGGTTTTCTTCATTTCCTTCTGGTTAAGTCATCCTTCCACAGTAGGAATGTGTTGTCTGAACGTGTTCCAGTGAGACACAGGTGGCAGCTGGATGGGCCTTACCTTGCACAGCTCTGGCTGCACAAACCAGGATGACTTGGCTATATTTATAGTCTTTCATATGACATAGGAATTTGTGGTTTTTCTTTGACACTGGCACAGGTTGCCCAGGGAGGCTGTGAGTCCCCTAACCCTGGCAGTGTTCAGATCCAGGTTGAATAAAGCCTTGAGCAACCTGCTCTGGTGGGAGGTGTCCCTGCCCAGGGCAGGGGGTTAGGACTGGATAATCCCTAAACTCCAGTCCAACCCCTTAATGAAACTATGTAAAGAAACCTCAGGTACAAAAGCAGAGCTGTGTGAGAGCACTCAGAATTACTCAGAGTGTTCCACATCTCTGCAGGTACATTTTCATTCTGGACACATGCAGCTCCAGACAGTGCTGAGAGACTCTAACTCTGTTTTCTAATCCTTTTGTTGAAGGAGCTGGACATGGGTTTGTCTGAAATCGTAGAAGATATTTTGCATATGCATGATAACACAAAGGTAGGAATTTGCTGTTCTTTCCTCGTCATTTTTATCCCACAGTATCTTCAGGTTATTCATAAGAGAGTAAAACCTTGGGCTTTCTTTAGAGCTGAGACATGTCAATAAAAGAATCTCTCGCAAGAAATGTCAGTTTTCCATTAAAATTTACCACGTTGTTCAATGAGAGAAAGAACATGCTTGAATTTTAGAAGCCATTTTAATGTAGGAAGCTAAACCAAAAATCCATAAGCGGGGGAAATTAATTGGAAGCCCATACTATTTGCAAGGCTTTGCTGTGCAGAACTAACACCAGTTTGAAATCTGATGCTTGGTTTTTGTTCTGGAGAAACTGCTCTTTGGTTCATGTTATAGATGAGCTTCTGAAAAAGGGAGAGTGCATTAGTGTTATGTTTTATGCTATGTAAATACAGGGGAGGTTGTTGCCATTATTGCATCTTTTGCTTCACTAATTGGGGAAGAGTGGCTAGAAACTGTAAATAATTTAAGGAAAACTCTCAAGTATGTCTAGAAATGCTTTAATTACTGGTTTGAATAGTTATCCTGCCTGCTTGTACCCCAACCAAGTGGTGAGCAGATAGTTTATTGGAATTCTTTAATTGCCAGAGCAGTGGAAATTGTGGCTTCTCTCTCTCCTTCATCCTTTGTGGGTTTTATTGTTTGCTCTCTAAAAAAAGGGTAGTTTTATAAACTACTATAAAGCAAGTGGATAGCAGTATTGATTCCACAAAGAGTTAAACCAGATGACTTAAGTCTTCAGAATAACTTTCAGAGTTGCATCATCAATGTGGTGCTGGAAAGAGCTGATGGTGCAGTAATGACATCAATTATTTAACCTCTTTTCGTGTGTTAGCCTTGACCTGTGTGAACTCTGCAGAAAATGGTCTGTAAGGAGAGGCAGAGGAACTGCCACTGCTCTAAAACTGGCTATGAATTATGTGACCATATCAAGATCAGACTGATCCCATCACTGCTTTGGGGGAGCTCAGAAGTTCCTCTGGCATGGGGCAGTGTTTGGTCAGTTTGTGCTGCTGTGACTTGGCAAGTGATGAAGAGTTAATAGGACTTGTGTTGTTAGGGAAGATCCTGAGGCTTTAATGATCCAAACTAGGTTTTCCCAACCCCCAGAGGAAAGTGGTGGGTGTCTGTGTGTGCAGGTGAGGAGCTGAACCTGCCTGATGAGCAGGAGCAGAGGTTACACAGTGAGCATAGCTGATCCTCTCTGCTCTCAAAGCTTTTTGCTTTGTGTGTGTTATGCTAGAACTGCATTTGCCTTCTTTGCTTGGATCCAATTTTATTCTCAACATGGGAGATGGTAATTTTTATCAAATCACTGTTGTTGTCATGCCTTGTACGAGGCATTCCATGAGCATTTCAAGAGAACTAGGTTAATGGTTTGATGGTTTTCCCTTCCCCTTTCCTTCTCCATTTCTCTCAGCTTGGCCACCTCACTCTGGAGGACTACCAGATCTGGAGTGTGAAGAGTGCACTTGCCAATGAATTTTTAAATCTACTTTTTCAGGTATGTTTAGAGGAAATTTAAACTTGCCATTGATGGTGATTAACTCCTGAGCTCTTTGCATGGCCACAAAGTGCAGCATCAGCATTTGTGTCAACACATTTACCCTTCTGTCTCATGCAGTGAGGGATGTGATTTGCAGCTCTGCATTTCCTTGACAGGCTGATTCTCTGTTTGATTATTGTTCCTTTCAGTGGCTGGAGATGCCTCAAGCCTAATTTGTTAAAGTGAACCTGGTGTGCTGTTTAGAAAATGAAAAGAAGCTTCCAGTGTATCAGCAGTTATATTTTGCATTAGACAAAAGCTCTGTTCTTCAACAGTTGTTCTGGCAAATCTCTGCCAACAAAGTCACACAGGGAAGGAGAAAAATCTCC